TTATGTTTATGTTTATGTTAGGCAAAGATCGAACTGGTTTAGAGTATGAACTACTTAAGATTTATGGGTTTATTAGTAATTTTTAAAGTTGGTTATGCTTGTTTATAATTTTAAGACAAACTTGTTTTGTATGCTTTAAATGTATTCTTGACAAACCTTGTAGTCCAATAATGCTATCGAGCGCTCTGTATAAAATTTTGCTAGACAACAATAACTTATAGCTTAGTAACTTACTATAACTAAAACTCCATGGTAATAAATTTTAATAATGCTCACAATAATAACAATAAAATATTAAATGAATAAATATTTCTTAAACGTCTTATTGACAAGTTCATAACTTTGGATTATAAAAGATGGCTCACAACTGCACTCTTCCAGAAGATAAAAAAGAAAAAAGCGGGTTTGAAAATAATTGGAGGAATTTAATTTTAATAAGTGAAGTACATCCAAGAACTTCAGAGATTTTCCAAACAAAAATGGAAATAGAAGCTGAAAGGCAAAGGCATTTAAACTCTAAATATAAATTAATGGTTCACCCGTTTAGTAAATTCAAGATTTATTATGATATTTATTTTCTTGTTGTCAATGTTGTGAGCACGCCTGTGTGCGTGGATTTAATGAAAGGAAACCCATATGAAGCCGTAACAAGAATATTCGTAACAGCATATGCGATTCCACATTGTTTGGACATGATTATGTCCTTTTTGACTGGAAGAATTAAAGATAATAGGGTAAATGTGGCATTGAATCCCAAAAAAGTTTGCAAAATGTACTTGAAATCGACTTTTATAATAGACTTTACATTTGTATTTACAATATTGATGGTAAATTGGTTTGCTGATGAAGTAGAAGGATGCGATGTTACCTTGAAAGTTCTGGTTTTCTTGCAATGTTTTAGCATGCCTTTAAGGATTAATAAATTTATGCTCGTAATGGACTTTTTTAAAATTCGAATTAAAGGTTTTTATTGGTGCATTTTTGGAATAGTCTATTATTGGTGGATGATTGACGTGTTGGCAGATTATAAAATTTTGCTCACAAAATTTATAATCCACTTTAATTATAGTGACGAGACCTACCGCAATGAATCAATGGCGTACAAATATAGAACAAATGAAATGACATATTTTGCTAGAACTTTAAATAGGCTTATTCTTTGTTTTTACTTGTCCATGACAATGGTTTCGGAGGAAATAATAATTTGGTTTGAAAAAGTATTTTGTTTTTTGTGTATTCTTATAGGCTCTGTTGTTCATTTATTTATGGTTATAATTATTCTATTGTATATTCTATCCAAATTTGAATCAAGGACGAAATTCGACAGTCTTTTAAACCAAGTTGAGAACTACGCTGAAGATAAAAAGTTACCAAAACCAATTAAAGACAGGCTCATGCAATATTACACACATAAATTCCGAAATAGATATTTTAACGAAGCCAACATTATGTCAATGTCAAGCGACGGTCTTGTAGAGGACATCCACAAGCATATTTGTAGAAAAGTAATTAGAATACCTTTTTTTTCAACGTTAACACAAAAAGAAGTTAGTTCGATATTAAAATATTTTGAAGTCGAACTTTACATGCCCAAAGACATCATATATGATACTGGTTCAAAGGTAGATTATATATACTTTATATCCAGCGGTACCATAGCCGGTTATACCATATCAGGCTTAGAAGCTTATCACTTAGGAGACGGTGATTTTTTTGGATTTTTGGATATTATTGGTAGTGAATTTAGACGAGAAACCACCACCATATCTTTGGAGATTACCGAAATATTTAAGATACGTTATCAACATGTTTTTGAACATTTTAACAATTTTCCTGGACTTTTACGTTCAATGGAAATTGAATCTAAAAAAAGAAAGTCGATTATTCAAGATTTGGAAAAGAAGTTTAAAGAAAGTATTTTGAAGACCAAATTCAATTCAATTGCGGAATAACCAAAACAATAGTGATTTCATTTGTTTTATTTTTATTTACCCAATGTATTCAAATAATAAAAAATTATGTTTTTGAATTTTTGTTTCCATTTAGAACTTATACACCAAAAATGTACTTTCGATGTCACTATTTTTTTCTAATATATTGTGATCTCTTACTAAAAATTTAAAAAATCACTGCAACACTGCACATCATTTAATGGCGGCCATTTTTGTTGTTTACAATTCTTGTGCTTTGGGTTTGTACAGGTAAATAATCGTTTTAAACGTTGTGTTTCTTACAGAGAGAATTGCAAGCCTGTGGTAAGTGGTAAGAACAATCATTTTACTCCTCTTTTGTAAAAAATAAACCTTATTCTATCAGGACTGTCAAATGTCAATTTTAAGGTTATTTTATAACCCACAAATTAAGTTGCGTTTTTTGGCTTAGCACAGCAGTATCGCTATAGCGTAAAAATACTGTTTGTGAATTATGAATTATTTATATCCTATAGGATTGCTTGTTTACTGGTAATTTAGTCCAGGCCAAGTCCAGGCTACTTATGGTTGTTCCAAAACCAAGTGTTGGCAAGATGGATTTTTCACGGTTGGTTAGAACTTGCCAAAAGTCCACACTCAACAGCCTTGTACATTTCCTATATGTTAAGTTTAAAATCGTATAAGGAGCCTTCAGGCTAAATTACCAAATTTTTCAATATTCTCTTATTATTGAAGAATTAAGACTAATATTTTTTAGGTTTGCACTCCCCAAACAAAAACATATTCATGTATACCGATTATGTATTACATATGTACATATAAATGTCTGTATTTTATTTTATATTATATTATTACTAAAATAAATAAATCTTATATTCATACTTGTTTTATTTAAGATACAGCAGTAAATACAATATAATATATTATAAAGGCACCCTAGGAAGCATTAAAATTCAAATATGGCGCCAATATATGTTACAGAAATCTACTTCAATTTTTGGTATTGCTTAGGTATTGTAGACCTAGATGGCGTCAATTTACTTTAGCCTTTTGCCGCTAGCGCTATAGCGCAGTTTCCAATGTATGGGGTGTATTATCTTTGTTCATGGCAATTTCAAAATAGTACCCAAAGTATTCTACTAGCATGTACTCGCCTTAGTTATCTACAGCATTCGCCTTCGGCTGTTGATTTTTTAGTGGGGTGCGGGTCAAGAAGGGAAACATTTTAGTTTTTGGGGGACATTAGACTGAATTAAAATTAAGTACAATCCGGAATCCTCCTCAACCAGGGATTTAGTAATACCTCCATTTAATTGGGGATCATGAATGAGTCTTGGTTGGTTAGTAAGCTACTAGGAAATATCCTTTCTGGTCTTGTAGTCTGCGCAAATTGTTTGCCCCACTGTGCGAAACCATTTCTTCAGCGCAGAGGTCGAGACCTATAGGATATATCGATAAATAGTTTTTTATGAACGGCAATGTAATGAGAAATTATCTTATTTCTGGTTAATTTTTTGCCCGAGCATTCAGCTGTCTACATTTTGTGATAGAAATTGTGTTACATTTTATTTTCTTCTTTTTTAACAATTAGAAGTTGCATTTATATTATTTATTCGATATAATTGCTCTTAACATTTGTTTTTTTTAATCTCTTCTAAGGCTCATAGTAGGCTATTACTTTTGTTTGGCCTAACATTAAGAGGTGTTAAGTGATTTATTATGTTTATGTTTATGTTAGGCTAAGATCAAACTGATTTACAGTATGAACTACTTAAGATTTATGGGTTTATTAGTATTTTTTAAGGGGTTATATACAGTTAGAAGGCCGAAAAAAAGTGAATTTTCCAGAAGTTTTTCTGAGAAAACTTTTAAATTTATTGATCCAAAAATTTATACACATATTATGGTATCTTTTAACTATATTTTAAGACTTAGTACTAGTAAAAATATTTATTTGGAAAAGAGCTACAGCTGATCTCCGGATGCTCCTCTCAAAAAAGACGTTTTGCGGTGACCACTATATCTCTGAACTGGATCATCTGAATTTAAAAAACCAAACAGATTTCGTTAAAGTAATGTTAAATCTAGTAATTAATCGAAGGAATAAGCAAAATAAATTTTTTTGACAAAATGGCGGTTTCTCAAAAAAGAAAATCGATTTTTCACCGAAATTTCGGCCTTAAATTGTTTATAAAAACAGAAATATTTATCGGAGAGAAAAAATCTTCGATTAATTACTAAAAAATATATTTAAGAAGCTCGTGTTAAAATTTGAGACTAATCGGTTTAGCCGTTTTCGAGTAGTAATGTTGGTCACCGACTTTGAAAACACCATTCAGAGAAAAACGCGTTTAAAGTTTGGAATGCAGTTTACATGGGATACAATTTTTTTATTTTTTAACTTACATGGAGTCGTCTATTCCAGGCCCATATAATACACCCTGTTTACACTGTTGATTTACACATCTAAATACATTAGAAGGGAGCATTTACAAGGCAGGTGCATAAAAGGGTAGTCGCTGCCGCTCCGGCCTTGTACTTCCAAGCACTCTGAAACGCCTTTTCAAATTTGCTGGTAACTTTGAAAATATTCACCGGAACGATATGAAATTTTCTGTGTGTATTCTTAAATATATGTACATTAAGAAAAAAAAAAAAAGATGTTTTGAAAATTCTAACTGTATGTAACCCCTTAAAGTCGGTTATGCCCGTTTATAATTTTAAGACGAACTTGCTTTGTATGCTTTAAATGTAGGTATTCTTGACAAACCTTGTGGTCCAATAATGCTATCAAGTGCCACCAGATGGTGCTCTCAATAAGCACTGTAATAGTCGAAGTGAAAAAATACCCAGCGTGAGAATATGTTCAAAAGTGATCTCGAAAATTTGTTTGATGTTGCTGCCAAAGACGCTCTGTACCATCAACTTGTAGCTTAATAACTAGTAACTATAACTATAATTCCATGGAAATTATTGTTAATAATGCTCACAATAATAACAATAAAATATTAAATGAATAAATATTTCTTAAACGTCTATTGACAAGTTCATAACTTTGTATTATAAAAGATGTCTCACAACTGCACTCTTCCAGAAGATAAAAAAGAAAAAAGCAGGTATGAAAATAATTGGAGGAATTTAATTTTAATAAGCGGAGTACATCCAAGAACTTCAGAGATTTTCCAAACAAAAATGGAAATAGAAGCTGAAAGGCAAAGACATTTAAACTCTAAATATAAATTTATGATTCACCCGTTTAGTAAATTCAAGATTTATTATGATATTTATTTTCTTGTTGTCAATGTTGTGAGCACGCTTGTGTGCGTGGATTTAATGACAAAGAACCCATATGAAGCCCAAACAAGAATATTCGTAACAGCATATGCGATTCCACATTGGTTGGACGTGATTATGTACTTTTTGACCGGAAGGATTAAAGATAATAGGCTGGATGTGGTATTGAATCCCAAAAAAGTTTGCAAAATGTACTTGAAATCGACTTTTATAATAGACTTTACATTTGTATTTACAATATTGATGGTAAATTGGTTTGCTAATGAGGTAGAAGGATGCGATGTTACCTTGAAAGTTCTGGTTTTCTTGCAATTATTTAGCATGCCCTTAAGAATTAATAAATTTATGCTTGTAATGGACTTTTTAAAAATTCAAATTAAAGGTTTTTATTCGTGCATTTTTGGAATAGTCTATTATTGGTGGATGATTGACATGCTGGCAGATTACAAAATTATGCTTACAAAATTTATAATCCACTTTAATTATAGTGACGAGACCTTCCGCAATCAATCAACGACGTACAGATATGAAACAAGTGGAATGGAATATTTTACTAGATCTTTAAATAGGCATATTCAATGTTTTTACTGGTCCATGACAATGGTTTCGGAGGAAATAATAATTTGGTTTGAACAATTAATTTGTTTTTTGTTTATTGTTATAGGCTCTGTTGCTCATTTATTTATGGTTATAATTATTCTATTGTATATTCTATCCAAATTTGAATCAAGGACGAAATTCGACAGTCTTTTAAACCAAGTTGAGAACTACGCTGAAGATAAAAAGTTACCAAAACCAATTAAAGACAGGCTCATGCAATATTATACGCATAAATTCCGAAATAGATATTTTAACGAAGCCAACATTATGTCAATGTCAAGCGATGGTCTTGTAGAGGACGTCCACAAGCATATTTGTAGAAAAGTAATTAGAATACCCTTTTTTTCACCGTTAACACAAAAAGAAATTAGTTCGATATTAAAATATTTTGAAGTTGAACTTTACATGCCCAAAGACATCATATATTATAATGGTTCACTGGTAGATTATATATACTTTATATCCAGTGGTACCGTTGCCGCTTATACCATATCAGGCTTAGAAGCTTATCACTTAGGAGACGGTGATTTTTTTGGATTTTTGGATATTATTGGTAGTGAATTTAGACGAGAAACCACCACCATCTCTTTGGAGATTACCGAAATATTTAAGATACGATATCAACATGTTTTTGAACATTTTAATAATTTTCCTGGACTTTTACGTTCAATGGAAATTGAATCTAAAAAAAGAAAGTCGATTATTCAAGATTTGGAAAAGAAGTTTAAAGAAAGTATTTTGAAGACCAAATTCAATTCAATTGCGGAATACCCAGAACAATAGTGATTCCATTTGTTTAATTTTTATTTACCCAATGTATTCAAATAATAAAAATGATGTTTTTGAATTTTTGTTTCCATTTAAAACTTATACACCAAAAATGTACATTCGATGCCACTATTTTTTTCTAATATATTGTGTCCTTAACTCAAAAATCAAAATAAGTTTATTTAACAACAAATGATTTTTTTTCTTTTATTTGGTAATGTTCATGGCAATTTTAAAGTAGGACCGATTGTATTCTACTAGCATGGATTCGCCTCAGTTATCTACAACACTCGCCTTTGGCTGTTTATTTTTTAGTGAAGTGCGGATCAAGGAGGGAAAAATTTTGGTTTTTGGGGATCATTAGACTAAATTAAAACTAAGTACAATTCGGAATCCTCTCCAACCAGGGATTTAGTAATACCTCCATTTAATTGGGGATCATGAATGAGTCTTGGTTGGGTAGTAAGCTGCTAGGAAATATCCTTTCTGGTCTTGTAGTCTGCGAAAATTGTTTGCCCCACTGTGCGAAACCATTTCTTCAGCGCAGAGGTCGAGACCTATCGATAAATAGTTTTTTATGAACGGCAATGTAATGAGAAATTATCTTATTTCTCATATGTTTTGCCCGAGCATTCAGCTGTGTAAATTTTGTGATAGAAATTTTATTACATTTTCTTTTATTTTTTTTTAACAATTAGAAGTTGCATTTATATTATTTATTCGATATAATTACTCTTAACATTTGTTTTTTTTTAATCTCTTCTAAGGCTCGCAGTAGGCTATTACTTTTGTTTGGCCTCACATTAAGAGGTGTTAAGTGATTTATTATGTTTATGTTTATGTTAGGCAAAGATCGAACTGGTTTAGAGTATGAACTACTTAAGATTTATGGGTTTATTAGTAATTTTTAAAGTTGGTTATGCTTGTTTATAATTTTAAGACAAACTTATTTTGTATGCTTTAAATGTATTCTTGACAAACCTTGTAGTCCAATAATGCTATCGAGCGCTCTGTATAAAATTTTGATAGACAACAATAACTTATAGCTTAGTAACTTACTATAACTAAAACTCCATGGTAATAAATTTTAATAATGCTCACAGTAATAACAATAAAATATTAAATGAATAAATATTTCTTAAACGTCTTATTGACAAGTTCATAACTTTGGATTATAAAAGATGGCTCACAACTGCACTCTTCCAGAAGATAAAAAAGAAAAAAGCGGGTTTGAAAATAATTGGAGGAATTTAATTTTAATAAGCGAAGTACATCCAAGAACTTCAGAGATTTTCCAAACAAAAATGGAAATAGAAGCTGAAAGGCAAAGGCATTTAAACTCTAAATATAAATTAATGGTTCACCCGTTTAGTAAATTCAAGATTTATTATGATATTTATTTTCTTGTTGTCAATGTTGTGAGCACGCCTGTGTGCGTGGATTTAATGAAAGGAAACCCATATGAGCCCCTAACAAGAATATTTGTAACAGCATATGCGATTCCACATTGTTTGGACATGATTATGTCCTTTTTGACTGGAAGGATTAAAGATAATAGGGTAGATGTGGCATTGAATCCCAAAAAAGTTTGCAAAATGTACTTGAAATCGACTTTTATAATAGACTTTACATTTGTATTTACAATATTGATGGTAAATTGGTTTGCTGATGAAGTAGAAGGATGCGATGTTACCTTGAAAGTTCTGGTTTTCTTGCAATGTTTTAGCATGCCTTTAAGGATTAATAAATTTATGCTCGTAATGGACTTTTTTAAAATTCGAATTAAAGGTTTTTATTGGTGCATTTTTGGAATAGTCTATTATTGGTGGATGATTGACGTGTTGGCAGATTATAAAATTTTGCTCACAAAATTTATAATCCACTTTAATTATAGTGACGAGACCTACCGCAATGAATCAATGGCGTACAAATATGGAACAAATGAAATGACACATTTTGCTAGATCTTTGAATAGGCATATTCTTTGTTTTTACATGTCCATGACAATGGTTTCGGAGGAAATAATAATTTGGTTTGAACAAGTATTTTGTTTTTTGTGTATTCTTATAGGCTCTGTTGTTCATTTATTTATGGTTATAATTATTCTATTGTATATTCTATCCAAATTTGAATCAAGGACGAAATTCGACAGTCTTTTAAACCAAGTTGAGAACTACGCTGAAGATAAAAAGTTACCAAAACCAATTAAAGACAGGCTCATGCAATATTACACACATAAATTCCGAAATAGATATTTTAACGAAGCCAACATTATGTCAATGTCAAGCGACGGTCTTGTAGAGGACATTCACAAGCATATTTGTAGAAAAGTAATTAGAATACCTTTTTTTTCAACGTTAACACAAAAAGAAATTAGTTCGATATTAAAATATTTTGAAGTCGAACTTTACATGCCCAAAGACATCATATATGATACTGGTTCAAAGGTAGATTATATATACTTTATATCCAGCGGTACCATAGCCGGTTATACCATATCAGGCTTAGAAGCTTATCACTTAGGAGACGGTGATTTTTTTGGATTTATGGATATTATTGGTAGTGAATTTAGACGAGAAACCACCACCATATCTTTGGAGATTACCGAAATATTTAAGATACGTTATCAACATGTTTTTGAACATTTTTATAATTTTCCTGGACTTTTACGTTCAATGGAAATAGAATCTAAAAGAAGAAAGTCAATTATTCAAGATTTGGAAAACAAGTTTAAAGAAAGTATTTTGAAGACTAAATTCAATTCAATTGCGGAATAGCCAGAATAATAGTGATTTCATTTGTTTCATTTTTATTTAACCAATGTATTCAAATAATAAAGATAATGTTTTTGAATTTTTTATCCATTTAAAGAGACAAAATGCGAGTTGTTGAAAGTTGGTTTCTATGGTAACGCTTTTCGCTTTTGACAGTGGCAGTGACATTTCTATATACGGTGTTATTTGAAAGCTTAAAATGAGATGTGAAAATTAATTATTTTGTGAAACGTATTGGTCCATTACAAAAAAAATGTTTAAAAAAAGGTTTTAAAACGAAACTACCAAATAAATCAAACAGTGTTGCCGGATCTTGTAGACGAAAATGACAGATTGATAATTTTGGTTGGACACAGTCAACCTTATCGTTAATTATTGCAAAACTATTCGGTGAAAGTTCATATGAAATTTTTACAAGCAAAGTTCATTTTTACAATGCCACGTTAAAAGATATGCATTAGTTAAAGACATGGGCTGTATAGGAGATGTATTTAATTAACGCATATCATTTAACATGACAATACTAAATTGATGATTTTTTCTCGTATATCCTTATACCTGTAGAATTGGCTTATACATTTTAGTCAATATTCACAACACAGTTTAGCAATGATAAACAATAACATCTTAAAATGCAAAAAATGCATAAAATCAGGATATATATACCCGATACTTCTTTAGCGTATACGCTAACAATACATTTAAAGCACAAATTATACATCATTTTTAAATAAACACACTGAAAAAAATTTAGTCCATAATATCAATTAATTCAGTTTATTGACTAATTTTTTATTGGGACAACGATTTTTTCATTAATGTAAAGAAATGTTATGTACGGTATTTTATGAACTAATCACGTGGTTCATCATCATGATGAACTAGTAGTTATTGTAATAGTAATTAATTTTACATTAGTCAATGTATAATATTTATTTTGACAACAAATTTTTTATCAGTCCAGTAAACAATTTCATTAAATACATGAATTTGTTGATTAATTTAATGAACAACTTTTACTAAATTGTTTCGTTATGATAATGTAATAAAGTATTAAATGATAATTTCTCCATTGTGTTAATGTTTTGCGATTAATTTCCGGCACGAACAAATAAAATGCTTGATTAAAAGTATACATTACATTGACGAATGCATTCATTGAAATAATGTTCTTGGTTCTAATTATAAAAATCACGGTATTAATGTATAGTATGCATAGATTAATGAAACGCATACTTTATATTAACAAACGCATTCATTAAATAAATGTACTGTCCTAACGATAAAACAATCATTTAATTAATGTTCACAGTTAATGTTAATGTTAATTATATTAACGTACAACCAAACAAATGAAATATAATAAAAATTATTAATATTGTCTCAACGTAGGGATTAAATTGTTTTAATAAATGTTTACGTTGGAACAATAATAAGGACATAACAATTCTTGAGCTCTGCTTAGTTTCCTTCATTTGAAAAATAGTGCGGGCATCAACTGCATGAAAGAGGATATTTCTTAGTACAGTGTATTTCTTAGTGACGGGCTTTATTTAAAAAAAGGTAATTATAATTTAGTTTTTAAATATAATTTTGATAAACTGATTTATTAGTATAGTATAGCGTCTTGTCCTAAAGCGTAGGAAAACTAATTTAAATTTTGGATAGTTAGAGTCGAAACACGATGTTTTGCTTTATTTGCAAATAAAATTAATTTCCTAAAATTACTTATATTTAAGGCCCGGATTTTTAGGTCATAAAAAGTGATAAAAGGTTCCTAAATTAGCTGATATTTTTAATAAAATAGGTTATTATTTTAGGTACCTATATTTTAGGTACCTATATTTTAGGTAATTAATTAAAAAGTTAATATTGGCTGGCCCGTATTTTTAGGTTATAAAAAAGTAAAAAAAAAATGCAAAAAATAGGTCACATAGTTATAAAATTAGGTTATTATTTTAGGTGCCTACATTTTAGGTACTTATAAATAAATAAATAAAAAAATAAAATAAGCTGATTTATTGAAATAAAATGTTTTCATTATAATGTCGATATCGTTGTAAAATCATACATAGGTCTTATGTAGTTTTAGTTACATTATAATTGCTCTGTTAATGTCCGGCAATAAAGGATTTAAATTAAAAATGAAATAGTTATTAAAATAATATTTATTATTAACATTAACTGAACAAAAATGTTTGGTTGGAAAAATAACAAATAAAATAAAAGATTATTTAAAAA